ACAACGTAAAAATTACGCTCTCTATTATATGCAACCAATTTTTTTAACCAAAGAAAACGAACTCTGTTTTCATTGAAAATAAAAAATTATTCAACTTCAAGATACGCCATTTTTATTTAAGTAAAAACTTAGGTATAAGAGTGATTTTACAATAACGAAACGTTAAAAATAAGAATAACGTTGTATCGCAATTATTGTAAAAGATTACTTTTATTATTTACACGAATAACCGTTTTAAAATAAAATAACGTATGTTTAAATATAATTATTACTTTTAACGGTAACAGAATATTTTAATATGTTTATTAGAAGTACATAACTTACTTATTATATTATAATTCTCAGATTCTATTCGAATAAGTTTTTCTAGATAAAAAAAAAAACGTCAATTATAATACTCGTAAACACCGAATAAATAATTATCATAGAATTAAAATTGTTTTCTCGGTTTAAAAAAAAAGTAATAATTCCAAGAATGTTTTAAAGATGGTACATTTCAAATTCAGTAAAAAAAAAAAAAAACCTCTTCCTTAAAAAAGTTAGAGACACTAAATTTTCATCTCTTTGATATTCTGTAGATTCTTGAAAACGAGATAACCAACTTGTTTTAAAAAACGCTATTATTCAAAATCAGAAACTATTCGCTTATTCCAAAAATACAAAAATACTTCTAATATGTCAGAGCATTTAAAATATAAACATATTAATGACAATAATCCTCCATCTATTTACAATTTGATACATACTTTGTAGCTTATAAAAAAAAAAAAAACTAAAAAAACTCACCAATTGTCAAGTAGATGTCGCATGTCTTTTCTTTATCTGCAAAAAACAAACGAAAAAAATCACATAAAATAATATCACTAAATGTCCTTATTAATATTAATAATTATTAATATATTTAAAATATTTTATATGATTTCATTTATTTAATATTTCATTTATATGTATATTCATATACATTTTATCAAAATAAAATAGGGATGGATTCGTTTTAACTATTCAACTGAATTTAATTTTATTTGCAAAAGCTGTTTTATTATATTTAAAATATTAAATATTTATTAGGGCAAAGTTCTAGGAAATTCCGAATATCTCATTTAGTTATATTTTTTTTGGTATGATCCTCAACAATAATTAAAATTCATTAATACCCGTATATAATAATTCATAAAAAATTTTGTTATTTAATAATTATTTCCAACATTTTATGTAAAAATTTGTCGACAACAAATTGTCAAATGTTGTATAAGGTCAATGGTTTGTCGTTTAAAAATAAGTTTTATGAAGAAATATAAATATTAATTGTGAAAAAAAAAATATTGTATCGTATGTTTAACAGCAAATCGTAACTTTCTACAGGTTTTTTGAGTCCTGAGGTGAAAATTATAACTGTTAATCAAAAAGTTACAAGTTAAAACTATTTTGATTAAAGTCATCATATCATATAATAATAATATAGTTTTTGTTCTGATTGATGTCCTCTAACAGGACTTAAATGGCTAATTTTCAATATTAGTTGCCCTTTAAGTACCTTTATGTTTTTTTATTTGAAACAATTGACCATTTCACATTAATCTATAATATAAAAGATAATTAAATATAAAATATGAAAAAATTGATAATAAACTAAAGGAGAAATAAGAGTTCGTAACGGAGAATAGTTGTGATTGAGGAACCAAAGGAATACGAGCTTGCCCGAAAGATTAGAACAGGTTTCCATACATAACATGAGCTTCACATAATACGGACTACTACAATAATATGGACATATACATATGTGGTTTTCATAAATGCTATCGTTGGTATTATTTAATATTTAATTGTATAGAATACAGAGATATAAAAATTAAAATTTGTATATATAAGGGTATTTTAACAAATAAAAATACCTACGATGAATTGTAGATAATTATAGCGTCAATAATTTTAACTTTCACTTCCCCTTTGTCTGAAAATACTTATTTCTGCTAAGAAGGGGGAGGGGGGAGGGAGTAAGTGAAAATCGTGTTATGCGCGCACCAGATTTTTTACATCTAACTAAATTATAAATATTTAAAAAGAAAAACTAAAGTAATGTTAGTAAAGTAATATCAAATATAGTAAAGTAATATTTGAAGGAAAATCTGTTGAAGAAATAAATAGGACATAATTCTAAGCTGTAAATTAGTCTATAAATAATGTAATACAGACCTGAATAAGGACAATAAATAAATCATCAAATTTTTTTATTATATCAGTTTATTAAGTAACTGTCATTAAAAAGCTCTTTTGAACCGTAATAAAAATAACAATAATAATGTGTAGCAATAAATACGGACAATAATAGATGGAACATTTCCTTTGATCCGGCCATTAAAGTAATGACGTGTAATACGCTGATGCACAAGCTAAAAATAACATCGACAAAGAACAACCACCAAAGTGAATCACCCATACATCACTCAATCCAAATGAGTTTGTAAAAATTAAATATAAAAAAAGATCTTTAATGTTTTATTTAAATTTTCAAAACCATTTAACTTTAAACTCTGTTATAGAATTATTCTTCTTCAAATGGTTGTAGCAAAAAAAAAAAAAAAAATAATAAAATAAACACAAATTTAACACAACATTCAACTTAGTATCAGTAGTATTGCCAAAATGCGAGACCAAGAAGAGTCTTGGTCTTGCGCAAGAGTCTCTCAACAGACTTGCAGTTACCTATTAGCTTATTACAATAGAGATATTACTGTAATTTATCAAATAGGGAAATATATAGCAATATTAGTACATAAAAAAACTAAAAAAAAAAAAAAAAAAATTGTACCACTACAACCCATGAAGATCTTGGGTTCAGTACTCCCTTAATTAATTATTTGATTAAGGGTACTCATTTTATATAGGCTGGGTGTGCCCCAAGAGGGTTCTCCTGAACCCGGGGTCGCTCCACGGCTGATGAAACAGAATAAATAATTTTCTGCAATAACCCGGGATTCGAACCTGGGACCTTTGGCATTGGAAGATCAATGTCCAAGGTCCACAACTTATATTAGTACATAATCATCTAAATAATTTTATAAATCAATTTATCATGGTAATAGATAACTGTTATTTTAAAAATATTAATAAACAATTTTTAAATTTCATTGATTATTATTATTTTATTTATTAACTACAAAATTTTCAAAGATATGTTAGGATAGAGTCTATAACTATAGACTACAGCAGGATCCGTGTGACCTAGCTCACATTTTAACTGTTTGTCACTCAAGTCAAGAAATAGCCTCATTAGAAATGCAAATGGCGACACTTCTTCAAGTCGTTAATATTAATTAAGAACAATTTAGTTCGACAAGCTAATTCTGTTTACAACGGCCATTCAGATGTAAATTTGTAAAAGTCTTGAATAAATGCCTCTTTCCTTTCCGAATTATTTATTTATATTTTAGTTTTCAAGAGAGGAGGTCTCCTCCCTCCTCTTTTTTTTAGGAAAAAAATTGAGGATTCAATACTTCTTCAAACAAAGATTAAAGTCCAAACTGTATCAGAATTTCTCGTAAAACTTAGGATTCCAAAAAAATTGAAAAATTATCGCAGTCAGAAGTATATTAAAGAAAATATACGTGTTATATAGGAATAATACAGAATACTTTCAGTATGTGTTTGCAGATGTGAAGTGCCCATTGATGAACAATCCAAATCACGTTTATTAAGATTAATGATTATCTTGGAGTAACGAACGACGTTTAAAGAGGCTCTATGGACTAACCACTATACTATATCGATCCATTTTTCCCCTAGGACTGCGTTCACGCTCCTACATATGATTTTTAAAACCGTTACGAACTAAGAAAGATTAATATTAGAAACATCAATAACAAACATTATAACAAATTGTTAATAAGCAGTATAAAATTCTCATTCTTCCTCATAAAAAAAAAATCTAAGTTGTGTATTATATTATACTTGTGTTTAATTTAATTCAATTCTGCTTTACCAATAGACACAAATTAATTTTTCGATGTACACTTATTAATTTACTGCGATTTCAAAATTTGGTGGGCGCCCCCGAATATATTTAAATAGCGCTTAAAAGTAACAAGATCATTGAATAATTTATTGATCACTAAATAAATAAATAAATTTGTAAGCACACTCGTACTACAACTTATTTAAAAAAAAATTGAATATTTAATAGTTGACCGTTGCATTATAAAGATGGTCCGGGGTGGCGGTCATAAATAGGCTAAATAGTGGTAAAACTATTTTATCAAAAGACCAACGTTTCGACCCGACTTTGCAAGTCTTCTTCAGGAAGGTGTGTTCAGCTAGGAATTTCTGATCAGTTCTAAGTGAAACTCCAAGCTGAACACGTTTATATTTTAATGTACTTACTGTTTATAATTTTAATTTTTTGTCTAAATATTATGTAACTTCCACAATTCTCTATCTTTTTGTATCTTGTCCGTTCTAGCCCTGAAGAAGACCTGCAAAGTCGGGTCGAAACGTTGGATTTTAATAAAATAGTTTTGCCACTATGACCGCCACCCCGGACCATCTCCTTCCTTTATAAAAAAAAATATTTCTTGTTTGTTTTATAAAATAATTAAATCAATTATATACTTAATAATAAAAGAAAAAATAATAGAACAAAAATAATGCAAAATTTATGTGTATCTATTTTTTAAAAACCAATATGGTGAAATTTAATTATATATTGTATTCACTGACCAACAACTTCTATTTATTATTACTTTTATTTTTAATTTTTTTTATTTAATTTTTTTTTAAAGGGCGAAAAACTGCAATGGCTACCAGCAAACATTTTCTGAGACTTGATCGGATTATTTACTTATTTTGGATGAAACAAAATTTTCAGGAATTTCAGTAACAAAAACCTTTTTTTTTTTTTAGTTCTTGTCTCGACTTCTAAACGATAGCCCTGATGATGGCCTGTTTGGGTCAAAACGTCGGCTAACCCATTAAAAAAATTTTGACTGAAATTCCTGACAATTGACTTTCGTCCATTATAATTGATCAGTCGACTACAAGAGTTCAGATAGGTCATCCAAAAAGTGGAAGTGGTACGTAGTAATATAAAGTCAGGAAAATCCTGCCATATAGGTATTTAATGTAATAATATATATACACGTTTACATATGTTATATATCATTTAACCTCTTCCCTCTAAAAAAATAATAATACATAAATGACATATGAATCCATTATGAGAGTTTCGCTCACTGGGACAAGATATTGTTTGGAGCCGCTGGATTGCTCCGGTACGGTCCTCAACGGTGCCTATATAGGCCAAGTTTTAACTCGATTGGTATCAAATATGGTTAGCATCAGAGGCGGTGGAGGTAGGATCTTAGGAGGGGTAGTGGGAGGGAGGAGAATTAAATCACCCGATCCATGAATAAGAGGAGGACTAACTCCATTAGTGAGGAGCAGTTGGCAGCTCTGATTCGATTGTCTCTTGCGGGATTGTTGCCGAGGGACTACCCAACGCTGTTTTCCCATTGGCGTGGACAAACAATAATAACCTCCCGCGCGGCCTCTAACTTGGCAGCGGAAGTTCAAAGGAGTGCAGTATGGGCGTGTGGAGACCTTTAGGGGCGTATCCATCATTGAATTGGTTATACCGAGCAAGAAATGGTTTAAGCATAACTTGTATTTTTTCATGCTCTATGTATATATATATATATTTTATTTTTTTATTTCTGTATGACATTTACAACTGTATTACATAAATACATCAAGTAAATTTGGACATAATTGATATAATGACATGAATACACTTGCTGAGTAACAACCCAATGGTAGCACTCTAATGATATGACTACATTAGGAGATCACGGGGCCATCTTCTTTTCAGACGCCTCGGAGGGTTATCAGGAATTGAAGAGGAAGCAAGGTTAGAAACGAGAGGGTTGGGATGATTCTGAAGTTTATTATGGAAGGATAGGTATCTGGATTGGGCCAGATCTGAAACATAAGGAACATTAACATCTTTATGGATAATTTTATTAGTGACAAAGTAAGGAGCATCGAGGATTTAACGAAGGATTTTGGATTGTAAGGATTGGATGCGAGAGGAATTCGATGGATTAGTGGAGCCTCATAGCTCAACTCCGTAAGTCCAAATAGGTCTTATTATAGTCAAGTATATGAGTCTTCTGTAATTAATGGGAAGTTTAGAGCGTTTGTCTAGTAAGTGCTGAAGTAATCGGAAACGTCGAGCGGTTTCTTGTCGTTTCTGTCTAGTATGAGGATTCCAAGTTAGTCGTTTGTCCAGGTGGAGTCCTAGGTATAGGATTTGCTCAACAGGGATAAGTGGAGTATTGTTAAAGGAAACTGTAGGACAGGAAGTCGTTGGTTTACGAATGTATATATTTAAATTTAAAAAATAACTGGAACCTGTAACAGAACACTTGCGCTTTTAACGCACACGGCATTGATTAGCGTGGTAGAAAATATATTCCAATTTGGATCATGATAATGCAAATGATGGCTAAATGTGTATTCGTTTAAGAAATTCGGTACACATTAAATACTCCGAATACCTAGTGTGACGTCGCAGGGTTTATGTTTGATGTTTTGATGATTCGGTAAAACACCTATTTACATAATGCGACAAATGTGTAAAATATATGATAGTGTCTCTATGTTTGTGTACCATTTTTATGTACAAACATAAACTCTTCCTTATTAAGGTTTGTGTTGGAAGGTGTGTTCTTATCGGGTGTCGTTGCATGAGAATAAATCCAGATTGACTCCTAAATTGTTCGTTTATTTATTATTGTAATGTATATTTTTGAGTTATAGTTACACAGCTATCATACCTGCCCTAGTATTTTTGTAAATTTATCAGTTTTCAAAAGATTCATTTATTTTTCAATATAGAATACACAAACAGGATCTAAAGCATGTTCCTTTAGTGTTGACTGAGAACTAAACATTTTTTATTGAATTTTTATTGAAGATAGTTTTTTTCAGTTATTTTGGAACTTGAACTTTTTCCTTTAAAACTTTTCAATTAAAGATTTCACAAAATTTTCAAGGTCAGTTTGTACAGCAATCAAAGAGAAGGGCAGTAGAGTGACACTTCTTCTCGAATAACGTGATCTCTCATCCAGCTCTTAAATTTTATTGTTTTAAATTTTATTCTAAGACTACGATTTTAATACTTATGTCACCTTTTTTGATTATGTTAACTTCATCATTCTACTCTTTATAACGGTTAATATTATTTATCTCTTAGTTCTTACCATTGTCATTATTCTACCCACTTCATTTTACTTTAATTTTTTTTTTACCTACATCATTTATGTTTCCCATAACTTGTTATCCGGTTCCTTTCTTAGCCCTGATGAAGGCCTGAACTCCATGTCGAAACGTCGGCAAATGTCAAAATAAATATTATTATTTTTTTTTGCCTTCTTATTTCTGACTGATCGCTCCAACCATTCTTCTCTTCATTATTCACGACAGTCAACCATTAACCCAAAATTATAATATTTTTAGTTCTCTAGCATGAAGTACTCCAACGAGATTTTGTAACGAACTTGGATATAGAGATACGAATATCCGCAAACCGTTCCAATATCTTGGAAGCCGAACTAGAACAAACGGAGATGGAAGGGGTCGGTTTTAATTAAAGCAATCAATGGCTCTTGCCCTCTTTCCTTATTCAAGCGATTTCGGGGCCCGGGCCCCCTTCGCTGAGGGAATGGGGCGAATTAATTTCGCTCGCTCTACGTAAAAATTCAAACCCCCCCTCAGAGAAACGCTCCCCCCCCCCCCAACGACAAGGCCATACATCACTGCCACACACTCTCCGCAGGCAATAGGAATAATTTCTCAGATAATTAATTTGGGCAACCCGGGCGACCTCTCATTAGATATAGCATTCTAGCCCTGGCGGCTGTTCGATAAATCACGACCTAACCCGAGGACATCCCGACCTAATTCCACGATATCCATCCATTATCTTAATATTATATACCTTTTCCATGCAATCCAAGCAATAAGCAAATTAAACTAAAAAAAAATAAGTGTTGGAGTAGTCGATACAATAAATAAAAATAAAATATTAAAAGTACTAGTACTATATACATTATTTACAATTAGGCAATGGAAGCTCCGAGGCAGGCTTGTCTATCATACTTTGGAGGAAAAATCAGGACTCAAGGAGATCCGTGCACTACTCTCTCAACAGCGTCGCTGGTACTAAAGCAAGTGGAGATTGAGTGAAACGCTTTAGACAGAACCAAACCATTGTCAAAGAAATCTATGTAGAACGCAAATAAATTAGCATTTCGCTGAATCCGATCTATGGGTGAATGAACAGAAAGTATAATTGGTTGAATAGAAATTTCTGACAAAAAAACAAAACAGAGGAAGACGAAAAAAAAAGGATAGGGACTAGAAAATGAATTTTACTAATCAGAGTATCTCTTTTGATACGCCTTTGTACTAGAGAATCAATATTTATATTTCAATAATATTTATAGTATCGATAAAAGTATACTTTGCTGCAGTAATAGAAAACGTCGACCGGTTTCTTGTCGTTTCAGTCTAGAATAAAAAAAAAAAAAAATTAACTTCAGTTTATTGATGACAAAAGCTCATTGAAGGTGATCAGATGGGTAATTAAAATTAGAGCTGATGTTTTGAACTTAAATTATAAACACTTCAAGCAAACAAATAATAATAGTAGCATGTGTAATACAAACGAAACAGAAGATCTCTATCACTTCCTGGCTGCTTGTCCGATACTCTCTGAATTTAGAATTAAATGGTTAAAATCTAGAAATTTATCTCGAGATCAAGTAATAGATTTAATAAATGGAAACAATTGGATAGCATCGATAAATTACTGCAAGTCTGCTTTCTCCTATAGCATAATGCTCACCAAAGAATTTAACAATTAATAAATTGGATAATTTTGGTACCATATCTCTTTTTGTAATTAAAATATTTATATAACTTTTACATTGTAAATATAATTGTTCTTATTTTCTTATTAATAAGTTGTATATAAATCGATTGAAATATAATTTTGTTATAAAACACAGACTCCTCTGACGGTCAACAGACCATGTAGCACGTCCGATTTTCGGTTTTAAATCCAAAAATATTATTTTGAATTGTCTTAAATTTATATTATGTAATTTTAATTAGTAAAAAGACTTTTTCTTCATCTTCTCTTCTACTAAAAAATAAAATAAAAATATTCGAATATATTAGGGGATATTGATGGAACCAGTGCTAAGTATTATAAACTTCTTCAATGGAGTAAAATCGAGAAACTTATTTAACATTTTAATGTTAAAAATAGAATCTATGTTAATGTTAAAAAATCAAAACTAGAGTAAAGTTTCGTAAATGCACGCATAAGATTATTACGAGGTTCTGATATTTTGATCACTAGGTTTGTTTTAAACAAATGGCATGAAAGAAAATATTGCGTATTGAATCTGGAAAAATTTGGACGACAGAGAACAAAAAAATATCATATTAAGGATGTGCAATGTTGTAATATATAGTTCTGATGCACAGCAGCGAATCCTGGACACCAGAATATTTGAGAGAGAAATCTCCCGCACGATAACCGGATGAACATGGGATCAGAGTAACACATGGAAGAGAAGGATAGATAAAGGACTGCATACAGATAAAAATCAATTAATATCTCATGATATGAAGGTGAGGTGGTTGAGATGAGTATGTAGCTCGTAGCAATATATCAGGAAGTCAGTACACAACATTGAATGCTTCAATAAAAGGCAAAATACTACGTAGAAGGCCCAAAACCAGATGGATATATGGAATCAACAAATATGAAATAGAACTGAATGGTGAAAACAGGAAAGAAATAACCCAAGATAGGTATTGAAGGATCGAAAAAAAAAAAAAGGAAAAGAAAACTCCTCAATACATGAGGTATAATTTCTATAATTTAAATTGGGGCCCCCAAACTTTGGGGCTTGTGATGAAAATAAAAAGCTTGTTCTATAAATGACACTTTGTGGTGAATTTGGGTTTCTAAGAGAATAGTTCGTGGTACAGACCACTCACATATTTTTAATAAATTATGAAAATCCGCCTAAAACTTCGTAAATAGCTTCATCTCATCGTAACCTACAAATATTTTATTTACGAATATTCTCGGAATTGTTGCGTTTTAAATCTGGAGATCGTCAAACTTTGTCTATTTAATTAAGTACTAAAAACTGATGAATAACCATTTTCTTTCCACTTGTATCTTCAGTTAATTTGAGAACGAAATCGAGAAAAAAAGTTCAATTCAAACATATTGAGCCGCTTGGCCTTTATAACCTCGTTATTTTGACATTTCGAAAGTGGAGGTCACGACAAACGAACCAATATTATTGTAGGCCACCATTTTTTTTCTACTACTATAACACTATAACCATCACATTGACAATGGTTATAGTGAGGTAAGACTACAAAAAAGATAAAATAAACATTAAAGAAGCGAAATAACTATTAAATAATAATCAAAAAGTAATTATATAAAAAAAATTAAAATTTTATTAATATGACGCCTCTTCCCAACTCGAGCATTGTAAACCCCATGAACTAGACTAACATTATATAATTTT